AAGTCCACGAGGTCGATCCACGTGCTCACGCTCACTTTTGGTGACGGCGTGAAGGTAGAAAGTTCCAGGTCCTTCACGTTCTTACTGTGTGGTCGCCTCTCTCACCGACGTTCTCGTTGCTCATCGTGTCCTTGCCGCCCGCGTTGGTCATCTCGCCTTCGGCGTCCGTGTCCACGACTCCACCCGTTGAAATCACCGTCCGAACTATCCGACTCACTGCTGGCCCCGTCACTACTGCCCGCGTCGAAATGGCCGCCAGCTCTACCGCGTTCATCACCGCTGGAAGAGTCGCTTGAACTGTTTCCCCCGATGACGGCGAACTCGCCTGCCTCACACTCCGCTGCGTTGACCGACGTTCACCATCTCGTTGTCCACGCTGGTCGTCTCGCTGATCACCACGCCGTCCACCATGACGACTCCGGCTACTTCGATGATGCCCCTCACGTCGAACCTCTCCACCTCGCGATGCTGTGCTGTGAGCGCTGCCTGGCCGTGCCCATTGTCGGCCAGTGTTCACACGCCCCCGCCTCTCTTCACGTCCTGGTTCATCGTTGACCGGCTGGAGCGTCTCTACCAACTGCCCCAATCGCTGCAAACTCGCCCGCGTTCCTGCCAGCTCGTCTCTCTTCTCGCGCTCTCTGTCACCCCCTCTGCTGCTTGACGCCGTCAGGTCTGCGACCGCCGAGACGAGCTGCTTCAGTGTCTTCGCCACCGAGGCCACACTCGCCACAGATCGCGACTCCCCTTCGTCGTCTGCGTCCACCTCGTACGTCTTGCGCACGGCCGCACTGCCACGCTGGAGGCCACTAACCACGGTAGTCAACTGCTGAAGAGCACTGGCAATGGCTGCCACGCTCATCACGTCGTCACCACCCTTCGCCTCCTCGTCGCTTGGCGAATCCCTTGTCACCTTCACGGCCCTAAGCGTCTCCGTCTCTATACTACTCGATGTCGATCGTAAACGATCACTCCGCTGGCTCACTGCTGCGAGAGCGTGGTCGCCGAGCTCTGTAGCTTCCTTGGACTCTTCCAGTTCGTCGGCGTTCCTCCTGACAGCCGATTCGCTGGACTTTCTTGCCCCGCATCTCTTTGGTCCATGCTCCACTATGGCATTCGTCTTCTTGGCTGCAGACAGCCTCGTAGTAACCATGGTCGCGTCTTTCTCTTTCCTCGATTCTCCTATTGCTGGTGACCTTGAGTGCGACCGCAAACTTGCACGTCTCGACTCGTTCGACTCTTGGACCGATTGAGGCCCCTGTATGACCACCATGTGACAAGTCTACGTAACGCCTGCTTGCCGGCGGGTCGTAAGCCACAATACCCGCTGCGTTGTCTTGCCCCAGTTCGCTCTTGTCGTCCGTCAAACTAACACAATCGCAGGCCACCGCAAAGCAGCCGGACTTTCGTCCTATTTTATTAATACTCAATAAAGCACTAACTTAGCGCCTTTTGACTCGTTCCCACTCGTCTTGTATGCTCCGTTCTTCCTTTCCGGAGACTTCCCGTCAACGACCACTACTGTCCTTCTGATTCGCACTACGAACCGCCCCTAAGATCCCACGCACGAGGCCTTCTCTCAGCAATGACCTGAGATTCTCCTTCCAGAGTCACTACCGCCAGACACCGCACGCCGCCTTAAAGCCCAGTCCACCGTACTACTCGTCCGATCAACTGTAGTCCTTCGGTAGTGCGTCCACCACCGACTCGCTCACCACGCGCTCGTCTCAGGGCTTGTGCTCACCGATACACAGCACCACGCCTTGCCCTTCCACGAACTCGTCACCACGCTCGCAGTCAGCTCCACACGCACGAGCCGACTCCGTAATACTCTCACGCTCTGGCCTGTTCGCCAGCCCGCTGATTTCAAAGTGAGCGATCAGCAGCTCGCCCCCCGACGGCTACCGCCACTGACCTCCACTCCAGAACCTACAACTAGTTCCTGGCACCTGCCGTGCCGATCCCTCCAAGCCCTGTCCGGGCCGATCGTCCCACTCACTAACGAACTTCGAACCTCTGGGCAATGTCGTACCCGCCCTCGGCTGCACGTCATTACTCCGCATCCTTCGGCCCTCTGCCGATCTTCAACCACGACCGCTGGTGGCGGTCTTTGGAACTTCGCCGCTTATGCCGTCAACTTTTGACACCGCCACCGTCACTCCGTTACATTTAGTTTATTCAAGTGAATGTTTTGGTTCCATCACCTTCTGTTAGAAATACGGTATCGGATAAATTTACCATACTGAATCCAAGTCAGACATTCAATTTATCAGACCTTTTCCTATTTTTCCCGGCTGTTACAGAACCCCGGCAGAGCTCGCCTGGTCACAACCAGATTTGCCTCGTGGGGAGCAAAGGTCGCTTCCTTCCTGTGGTGCTCTGCATTAAAGCGCGTTTAAGGCGATGCCCCCTCACTTCGGGTACGCTTTAGCTCTCACTCCCGCCACGGACGGTGGTTTCCCCGACGTTTTACGCTCTCTGGAAGAGGAATTACGACGATAAAACGGATTAAAGCTGACATTTTTTCGTGTTGATTGAATACGTGAACTCTTAGACAGGAAGCGACCCCGGTGGTGATGAAGCGAACAGAGGAGACTACGGAGCAGCCTGAAGACGCAGCGGAGGAAATGCTGCTAGGCGTGACGGCCAAGGACGTCCCTGTACTTGACACGCCGGAACGCATCGTCGTGGATCACCCGGACAAGCTCGTAGCTGCGTCCCCCGTGCGCCGCCGCAAACGCGATGTACTGCGCCAAGTGTCCATGCGTCTTTATCTCAAGGGCAAACACGTGGCTGATGACGTGCTGCGCAACGTGGCACCTTCCCGACTGGCCGACGCCGAGGAAGTTTGCAGCGACGCGCAGTCGAGTCTGGATCACGAAATCCGAAACTCCAGGAAGACGAGGAAGCATCTTTGGCTGCCAAAGACGCAGGACGACTCGGTACTACTGGACTCGTCCAGTTCTCATAAGGATCACTCTGCTGTACAAGAGTTCTTTGTATCTCGCGTGACCGACCCGACGTCATACTTCTACCGCTTCCACTACGACGACTACCATCACTTGGCTCCTCAGAAGGCAGAGGTACAACTCGTGGATGTCAAGTGGCTGAAGCCTCACGAACAGATCGTGAGCTGGGAACGAGTCAATGGTCTCAGGAAGGCAACACTATCGTGGGACGCATACACGGAACCTTTGCTGGTCGATATCAAGACCGGTGCGATCTTAGATGGCCACCATCGCTACAATGTGGCTCTACAGTTGCGTCTCAAACAGGTTCCAGCGGTGCTGGTGGACTACTTGGGGGACAAAACGATCCACGTGGACGTCTGGCCAGGTTGTGGACGATCGCATTTAACCAAGGAAGAGGTTATTGCGATGTCTCTATCGCCGGATGTGTTCCCTCCCAAGACAAGTCGCCACAGATTAACTGAGAGCTTGCCGCCCATTTCCATTCCGTTGTCAGTCCTGCGTCAACCGCCTCTTCCTATTGAGGAAATAACGAAGCAGACAACAGTATCGAGCGAGGAGATGCAGACGGAAACGTTACGCTCTCTGGAACGCAAACCCAGTCTACAGCAAGTGTCTATTTTCTTGATCTGTGGTGCTCAGAACTTGGCTGCATCAGTGACTAAAAGCCTGTTCCGGGGCCGTCTGCGCTCCGTTGATCGTATTCGCGAGTCAACACGGATGGATCTCATCAGACGACCATCCTACGACCCGAAAGATTTCTTTAACGCTATCCGAGAGAATGACCCGACGTCGAGTTTCTGTCGACAGAAGGCTGCGACGCTGGAAGACCTGCTGTCCGATGATAAGGAACGTCGTCAGAAGTTCTTCTTGACGCGTATTGCAGACCCGACGTCGTACTTCTACAAGTATCACTTTGATGCTCGTCCTCAGCGACAACCGAAGAAATTGGGGGTGCATTTGGCAATGCTGAGCTGGCTGAAGGCACACGAGCACGTTGTGAGCTGGGATCGCGTTGATGGTCTCCGCCGCGCTACTGTGCGCTGGAATGCGTATCTGGAGCCGCTACTTGTGGACAGAGCCACAGGAGCTATCCTAGACGGCCACCACCGCTATAATGTGGGACTTCAGCTCGAGTTACAGTGCGTGCCAGTAGTGCTGGTGGACTATTTGGAGGACGACACAATTACGGTCGATGTCTGGCCAAAGTGCGGTCGTGACTCACTTACGAAGCAGGAGGTGATCGATATGTCGCTTTCGGACGATCTGTTCCCACCTAAGACGAGTCGTCACTCGTTTTCGGACGATTTACCGCCCATTTCAGTCCCACTGGAGCGTCTTCGGCAGCCACTGGATACCAACTTTGTTCCGCTGTAATTTTGGTTGATAGTGAGTACGAAATTGCAGACACAAAGAGAGGAGATATGAGTGGTGCCATTCAGTACACGTACATTTACTTAATCCAATGAGCCTCAGATTCAGCAGAGCTGTGGCACCGTATCGGTAGTTCATTCACTTCCAGATACAATCGTGACTTGGATGGAAGTCTGAGCATCTTGATTTCGGTTTCTGACGCGTTGACGCGCACGGTCTGCGAGCATTTTGAGCTTCTTAGTGATGAAGGTCTTAGAAGCCACGGCTTGCAGACGTGATTGCTGCGACTTTGTATTCCAGACGTCGACGATATCATGCACGTACTTGTCGCTCTCGTCCTCGATTTCTTCCTGGATGAGCTCTTCGATCACATCTTCAATAGTCACGATACCCTCGAACGCAACGTGAGGTGGAATAGGCATGTTGTTCCTCCAACAAGTTGCCACAAGCTCTGTTTCCTTGGTGACCAGAGCAATATGCGAGCGGCCTTTTTGGAACTCATTCAGCATCGAGTAACATGATCCACTAGGTGGCACAAGAATGGGCTTTCGGAGCACGAGATCTCGAATCAGACGGGCATCATCGGGGTCCAGCACGATGAGCTTCTTGACGAAAAGTAAGCCGACAATATTCGATCTACGGGTTTCGTACACTGGGATACGACTGTGGCCTGAAGCCAGGATATCCGCCATGGTATTGTGATTCAGCTTGGTATCAATCTCCAGCATGAATATCTCGCTCATAGGAATCATAACTTCCGTCACTGTTTTACAGGAGAGATCCAGTGCGCCGTGGATAATGGTGACTTCATCGACGTTAAGTCGCGTGCCACTTGCCAAAGCTTGCTGACGCCGGCGCTTACGTTGATTCGGAGACTCAATTTCCAACTCCACTTCGACTTCCAGTTCCGGTTCTGGCTTGAGTAGCGGTTGCTTTCGCAATGTATTGGGAGACATCAGGACGCTGTTACTAGTACTGCTAATATGTGAGCTCAATTGAGACTCCAAGAAACTCTGTCGCACAGCTTCGCTATCACGCTGAAGTGTCACGAGAGCTTTTAGCTCGTTACGTTTGTATTGAGCTGCGTCGTGATCGGCTCCAATCCACCAGTCTAGTAATTTGCTGATGGGGTAGGCAATCGGGAACACGACGGCCATAAGTACCTTGACACCGGGGGTCAAGGCAGCGGCGATACGGAGCTGGTTGGGGCCTGTGAAGATGGCAGATGGGATGATCTCGCCAAACATGAGCACGCATGTGACAGAAAGAATAATGGACACACCCTCGGGCACCAGTTTGTCCAAGAAAATGGGGAGTGCTTCGTTGGCACTGGCGTTCACGATAAGTAACGTGACTAGCAGCAAGTGATGGCGCTCCAGCACGGGGCGCACATTGCGAGCGTATTGTTTCTCAACTTCAGTGCCCTCCATCTCGAGGATACGAACGTTGAGCATGTCTAGCGATACGAGGCCCATGGTGAGACCAGCCATCAAGCCTGCTGCACATACAAGCAGCACGCACACGCACAGGTAGGTCCAGAACGAGGTGGAGTCACATGATGGCGAAAAATACTCGCATTCTTCGGATGCCATAAGCGGGGGAGCAGGTGGTGGCTGTTAAGTCC